CTCCTATTAATTTTTATGTATCAAGTAAGGTGGTAGGACTATAAAGATTTCTATAAAGAAATAAAATACTACAGATGCTGGAGATCTGAAATAAAAGCAACAATTACTTGAGAATCTGAAGCAATTCAGGCAAGAGTTAACATTTTAAGACCAACAGGACTCATCTTCGGGATTGCTTTATGACAGCAAAACCCGACATAAACTTATATAAAATAGCTTTAAAAGCAGAAGTGCTGTAGCACTGGTAAAACATTAGGCAGAGTATTTTTCCTCTGTCCCAGTGAACAGAATGTTCTACTTTGAGACTTAAACTTAAGGCTTGCAAAGAAACAATACAAGCATGTAATATCTTGGCATGGTAATAATGTACTTTTTGGAGACAAATACATTGATCATACACCTTAGCTCTAAGTCTGTTTAAAACTGGAATGAATTGCATGCTTACCTCAAAAGTTCAAAGCAGATCTATTATTTAAGCAGTGTTCTAATGGTATATACTTTTTCCCTTTGAGTGAATAATGAAGCATTGTGATCCCACGCAAGCTCATTGTTTACAACCCAGAATAATAACAGTGCAACAGTGGTACAGTAATTATATGGAGGAAGTGGGTTAGTTGTCACTGCTAGAATTCTGATAAACACGGTTAAATGAAGTAGATGAAAAATATTCTGTTACCATGTTTATTTTTCCTTTATTATGGATCTGACTGGAAATCGCAAATGTTGCAACAGTGCAAGCAGCCAAGGCATAGTAGGTGTTGAAAACAGCTTTTGCCCTATTCATATTGAGAAGTGCTGCATTAAAACTGGGCCAGAACATCCACAGAAAGCTTGTACCTGTGGACAGGAAGAAGAATTTCAATCAGTGGATGTGGGACTGACTGCAAGATATTCAACATGACATTTGTCGAGAGAAAGGACAAAGATCAACCATAAACACATATTATAATTTTATCCACTTGTAACAAATATTTCTCAACATAGTATTTACTACAAGTGGACTATCACACACTACAGGTTTCCTGGAAAGTTACTGAATTTGTTTATTTAATTGGCTGTTTTCTTTACTTATAATAATATTGCTGGTTTTTAAGGACATTTTACAATGTTTTACTTTCTTTTGTAAATTTTGAAAAGTAATTAGAAGCATACAAAAGTAAAACCAAGACAACAAGGTGCAGAGACAACAAGGTGCAGAGCTGGATGAACACAGCAGGCCAAGCAGCATCATAGGAGCAGAGAGGCTGACGTTTCGGGCTTAGACCCTTCATCCTATGATGCTGCTTGGCCTGCTGTGTTCATCCAGCCCTGCACCTTGTTGTCTCGGATTCTCCAGCATCTGCAGTTCCTACTATCTCTGATTCAACAAGGTGCAGAGCTGGATGAACACAGCAGGCTAAGCAGCATCATAGGAGCAGAAAGGCTGACGTTTCGGGCCTAGACCCTTCATCAGAAATGGGGGAGGGGAAGGGGGTTCTGAAATAAATAGGGAGAGAGGGGGAGGCGGATAGAAGATGGTTAGGGGAGAGGATAGGTGGAGAGGAAACAAACGGGTCGAAGAGGCGGGGATGGAGCCAGTAAAGGTGAGTGTAGGTGGGGAGTTAGGGAGGGAATAGGTCAGTCCAGGGAGGACGGACAGGTCAAGGGGGCGGGATGAAGCTTATCAAAATCTCCCCTCCCACTACTGCATCCCAAAACCAGTCCAGCTCGTCCCCGCCTCCCTAATCTGTTCTTCCTCCCACCTATCCCCTCCTCCCATCTCAAGCCGCACCCCCATCTCCTACCTACTAACCTC